GGGGAGATTAATACTTATCAAGCATGTTCTCTCTTCAATCCCTTTACACATTATCTCAGTTCATTCCCTCCCAAAATCCATAATTAATACTCTTCATGGAATGATGAGTAACTTCTTCTGGGGCCAAAATCAAGGGATTCCTAAACATCACTGGAAAAACTGGAAAGACATTTGTCTTCCCACTAATGAAGGAGGACTAGGAATCAGGGATCTGGGAGACTTACAGGAGGCCTACTCGATTAAGGTATGGTGGAATTTCAGATACTCAGATAGCAAGTGGGCTACTTTCATGAGAAACAAGTATGATAGCTATAATTATGAGGAAAAACTCACAGATTCTCCTACTAGAAAGAGAATTTGCAGAATTCACTTAAAGGCTGATGAAATTTTTGAAGACATGCTACCAGATGATGATGAGGTAGTTAAAATTACTATTAAACAGGCCTATGAAAGTTGCAGACCACAAGCCACCATTACGCATAGTAACAAGTACAGCTGGAATAGAATGCAAATCTCAAAGGTCAAACTTTTCCTCTGGAAGGTCAATAGTGATATCCTACCTTTCCCAAATGTACTCACTAGAATTACAGTCAGCCTACCCTCTACATGTCCTTTTTGTAAAAAGGAAGAAGGAACTACTCACTATTGTTTGCTACAATGCAATGTCATCAAAGACATCTGGGAAGATTATGCTCAACTTATAGGGGGCCCACGCATCAAACCAAGGATCAGCATCAAGCAACATCTACTAGAGTGGCACTTCAGCTCTGAATCCATAACACTTTCTGGAAACTTGAAATTGGTACTTCCGGGAGTAATTGCTTGGAGCATTTGAAACAATACGCAGCTATTAGATTTGGAAACGAAGAATTTAACATCGAAACTATAAAATCACACATTAGAAATAATCTCAACCTATGGTGTTGGAAAGATCGCCATAAAGGTTGGATGATTCACGATGACAATCTCACCAGGGCTGGGCTACAAATGTTTGCACTTAACGGAAAGGCAATTCCAGGAGCAAGAAGATGACGAAGGTGGAGCCTAGTGACTGAAGGGGGGAAATCGTTCTCTGCAAAGGATTGTATTAGCTTGGATTTATCCGTTTCCCTAAAGTCAGGATATTGGTTTGGGTCCTTTTGATTTATTCCTTTTTTATTTTATAGTGTTTTAACCTTCGAGGCTTCGGTCAAGTCCTCCTCGAACGTGTACGGATCTCGTTTTTAAATAAAATCGGTAAGGAACCCTGAAATATATATATATATATATATATATATATATATATATATATATATATATATATATATATATATATATATATATATATATATATATATATATATATATATATATATATATATATAATATATATACCGAAATATATATATAATATATATTTCCAAGTTTTATAAAGTTCATTTTGAGTTTCCAATATTTACTTAAGATTTAATGGAATTAAATCTAAACAAATACAATTAACTCAAAATTTGGAAATAAAAAATTCCGAAAATTAAAATATAATTTTACTAACCATAAAATGAAATTTTATGTTCAATAAAATTATATTAACACTTTCGAAATATATATATTAATATATATTTGAAATTTCTGAATATATGTATAAAATACATATTTTCGGCACAAATAAATAATAAATATTTATTTTAATGATTTATTTAAGTCCAATATTTATTCCAAGACTAAAATAAATCATTTTACTAATTTTTGAAAATAACAAATAATTACCAAGTTAAAAAAAAAAATTTTCATCCGAAAAAGTTCTACGAAAAACTATAGTTTTGTACGTTGGCTCTGATACCACTGAAAGGTAACCACGGTTGGGAGGGCAGTGGAAATACAAAAATTTAAGCTCCCAATAGTGATTACTAGCCCAAGAACACGTACTAAAACTATAGCTAGAAACTTATACCTTCTCCAGAAAAGCGGTATGAACGAGAAGTCGAGCAAAAGATGTTGAACGAGCAAACATAGCCGTTCGAGCGTCCGGCCTCCAACTTTGACTCATGAACA